TCAAACTATCTTTCCAATCTTTCATCGCTATCGAACCTATCGTCCGTTATCAATTTTTCTCTCTTACCATTTTCTGCACACCAGACCTAATAAACCAGTAGACTGCAAAATTATTAACCTGACAACAACAAGTAGACAAGACAGTGGAACAGTACACTGTTGTTGTAGTGTCCTTGTTTACACGCATATTAGCCGTAAAAGTCCAGTATTCTGAAGTAACGAAGGTTCGAATATTTATGCAAGGCCTCCATCCTGAATTATTATTAGTCTTTGAAACCTTTATGCCAAATACGCTTAAAGAAGCTGTTGAAAAAGCCTGATCTTGTGAAATGTCCTTTGCCAAAAGAATGTTATATATAGTCCTGCTGCACCACATGATTCAATATTACATTCACATTTTCAATATTGCCACCATCATCTGAACAATATATTCTGTGACTCAGCCTACGCTTCCCATAGCCCAGCAAACTGTACTGACCCAGCTCTTGAATAACCTAATTGAGCAAGTTTTGGTTTTACTACAAGATGTAATTACAACAATGGGTAATAATAATGATAACAATAACTGTTTCCGTCCCCATCAAATGAAGCATAGTATAAAAGAAAAACTGACCATCTGTGTGCCTCATCAATCAACAAGTAGGACACATTGCCTACAAGTGACAATATTTTTGTAAATTATAATGGTAACAGTTCTCCAACTTAATACCAAGGTAATGCCACTGTCAGTAAAAATAGAATCGTAAAAGAAGCCCCAGTAGTACAAGCAATGGTAGCCCAAACCCAAGAAACCTTGGAGCATTCAATATTCAGTCACTATCAAAAATCTGCTGACTTGGGTAATGATGACACAACATGCAAGGTTGGATATTGTCATAAAAATGAAACCGGTCTTGAAAAAGGTAAAGCATTTGGGCAGCGTTCAACTAATGCCAAAAGTGACAATTCAAGAGGCAAAGAGAGTTTTAAATATCGTAATATTGAGATGAAGGTTAAGAGCAATGAAATATATAAGCGTGGCTGTTATAGTAAGGGTAGAAGCTGGGTAAATACTAATATAGCAAATCAAAAAATGACTATAAAACCTACAATTATACTGGTGAAGTTATTAAGGATACTAAAGCTGCCAGTAACATTAAAGGTGAAGCATTTGAGTATTATTCAAGACCAGTTAATGCAGATAGAACTGATAGTATTAGTCTTGTGAAGGATGAAGTGCAAATATTGGCTGTATGTGATCAAAACTTGTCAAAGTATTATTCGAATCCTGATGAAAATAATAACTTGAAACTTGTTAAAGCCCAAAATTATAACGATAATAGGAACCTTGAAGATTGTATCTAAGAAAAAACAAGTGATATGAAACTGGTGAAAACGTTGGTCTTGAACATTGGTTTTGAATATTGTAGTGAAAATGAAATTGGGGCAGAAAAGAACAAGCATAAAGGGTTAAAAGAAGGCAGAAAATGGTAAGAGAGAAAAATTGATAACGGACGATAGGTTCGATAGCGATGAAAGATTGGAAAGATAGTTTGA